TGTTTTCAGCTATCTCTGTAAATAAAGATTGATTAGAATATCGAAGTTGAAATTAATTAGAATTTCATATTATTTTATTTTACATTATATAATTATATATATTAATAATATATAATATAAATATATAATATATTATATTATATATATTATTAATTATATATATATATATAATTAAATATATAATATATTATATTATATATATTATTAATTATATATATATATATAATTAAATATATAATATATTATATTATATATATTATTAATTATATATATATATAATTAAATATATTGTATTAAAATATATTAAACATAATTAAATATATAAGGTCGCATAACTTGAAAACTAACGAAGGATCACAAAACCTACTAATTATTTTGAGTTCTCTGAAAAGGAAGAAATTGATGGTACTCGTCTAATTTTGTGCGCGTGCGCGCGACCGTATCCTCGTTAAGTCTTATTAAATTTCTCGTAGACAATTCACAGTAGCCCGTTTCGCTTCCCACAATTTAAGTTTTCACTCGCGCGTCGATACGTACGTTTCCGCGAGAAATCGTGGATAATATTAAACGGAAGGTTCGATTTATTTGTAAAAGGATAGGCACCGGAGAAAGCTGTTTTGTCTCGAAACAGCTCCGTAACAGCTTTCGATTTCAAACGCGCGCTAGTCATCGCTATCTCTCCGTTAGCATTTGACGCGGAGCCCTGTCTACAATCATAATTTTAGCGAAAGCCGTGAAAGTAAGGTGCACTGTGTGCAAATACATATATACCGACGATACATAGTGATACGCATGTATCTTATATCCATGAAGTCCATTGACCCACGAGATACCACCTACACAGACGTTTCTCATCAGTCACGTTGACACTATAGTCACTCCGTGACAATAATAATTAATTCAAATATCTTGCAATTATTTATTTTTGCAAATTAAATTTTTCAACGATATTAGCAGAGTCTTCTGGAAGATATAGACAGAAAATGCGGAATAATTTTTTTCCTACGAAGCTTAATTTGCGAGTAAATGGTGTTCAAAAATTTGTTGCATTTACAAAAATTTCAATTCGATTTTTTAGGAAATTTAGCGTGGAAACAGTTTATTCCGCAGTTTTTGTTCACCTCGTTTCAGTCGGAGCTTAGGTTTCAAGAAAATTAAAAATTTTCCCCCTTTTCCAATGTGAATCCAACAAATTTTTGAATTCGATATTTTTGAAAATTGAACAGATGAGAAAACTGTGTTTTACCATTTTCTGTCCATTTTTCTATGAAGAATTACGTAATACTTTTTTGAACATGATTCACCACCCCTTCGCTCAATACATGAAGCAATGAATTTTTGAATTTGTATGAAAAAGTTATATAGCAAAATTTCTTTTCATTTTTGATTGAATAATCCACTGATATCTTCTTAAACATGTCCTCTTTTTGATTGAGTATTCAAACAATTTTTTGAGCTCGATTTTGTTGAAAACGAAGCTTCATATGAAAAAATTGCATAGCATATTTTCTTTTCATTTTTAATCAAAGAATTATGCGATGTCCTTTTTATTTACATTTTCCCTTTCTTTTTATCGAGTACTCAAAGAATTTTTGGAACTCGATTTTCTCGAAAACCGAGCTTAACATGAAAAGATTGCATAACATATTTTCTTTTCATTTTTAATCAAAGAATTATGCGATGTCCATTTTATTTATATCTTCTCTTTCTTTTTATCGAGTACTCAAAGAATTTTTGGAACTCGATTTTCTCGAAAACCGAGCTTAACATGAAAAGATTGCATAACATATTTTCTTTTCATTTTTAATCAAAGAATTATGCGATGTCCATTTTATTTACATTGTCTCTTTCTTTTTATCGAGTACTCAAAGAATTTTTGGAACTCGATTTTCTCGAAAACCGAGCTTAACATGAAAAGATTGCATAACATATTTTCTTTTCATTTTTAATCAAAGAATTATGCGATGTCCATTTTATTTACATTGTCTCTTTCTTTTTATCGAGTACTCAAAGCATTTTTGGAACTCGTTTTTCTAGAATGTAAAAACTCGTTTCAGGAAGACCGTGTAAAAATAACTGCTTGTGTTTTCTAGGTATTTTGAAAAATGACAGCCGAGGTCGCGAAGATGCCCCATATGGAGATTTTCTACCGTCTTTTGGAACTTCCAGTAGTGGAGAGCGCACTCTCTAAATCTGCCGAACAATATACCCGCGTGAGAGACAGCAACCCGGTAGTTCATTGGATTCTGACCACCGCAGAATCGTCTTTGAGCACCGCGACGAACATGGCGGTGGTTCCCATAGCGGCGCCCATAGCGAGGAAACTCGAGACCCCCATACAGTTTGTTGACCACACGCTATGCTTTGGTCTTGACAAAATCGAAGAAAAGGTGCCGATGGTTAAAGAGAAACCTGAGCAGGTTAGGAATACGATATTTTTACCGTGAACAAGTGAGCTGCCCCCATCTCGGATAAATATTATAAATATTCGTTAATATTTTTCTCGCTACCATGTTTCAATTTGTTTGTTTCTCAATTTCCCGTGGCTAGCAGAAATTTATAAAAAGTATGAACATCTTTTGTTTCAGTTGAAGAGTTAACTAAAAATATTTATAATAAATTTAGAGAATTTTTTGTCAGTGTCCCTCAGCTTTTACTTATGCAATTCTGTTGCAATTCATGTTTCGATTGTTCATTATGAATTTATAGGAAACAGTCACACATTTTATTTTACGTTAATAATATATTTTATATTGATAATATATTCATTAAAAATATCTATACTAAATTATTAACAGAAAGTATTTATTATTAACATAAGTTTTCTTGCGCTCTTTGTTGGTACCTGTTTTAACGAAAATTATGACTAAAAATAATTATAACAAATTGTAAATTGAATGTTAACATGATAGTTGAACACATATTTAAATAATTTACATAGATTCGTTGTTCACATCATTCTTTAAAATAAATTGAACCGAATGCAGGCAATTCGTTAATATAATTAATTTCTTTTTGTTAAATAGATTTTATTAACATCAAGTTCGTCGTTTGACGTTCTTTAATGGCGACGAATAGAATTAATAAAGTTAATAAAATGAATGGAGTGAATTTTGTAAGCATTATTTATTACCGTTGACTTTGTTTATTATTTCAGATACTGGAGAACGCATATATGTTGGCACTGCAGAATGTTGTTCAGCCAGCCGTTTGGAGTATTTCGCACGTGAATGATTTGATAACCATGCAAGCCTCCAATTTGAAGGACGTCAGCTGGAACAAGGCGAATCAGATCCTAGGAACACATTATGGCAGCGCGGCTGTTAAGGGCTTGGATAACACAGCTGTCGTTGTCGATAAACTGATCGATAGATATTTTCCGGCTACTGGGGATGAAGAGTCGATTGGTATGTTAAAACTGCGTTACATTAATTGGCGTCATTTGAATACCAAATTACGTACAGGGTGTCCGGATTTTAATCCACAAACGGAAATAACCCGTTAATTGCACACTGTATAGAAAATGTTTCCTATAAATATTAAATGCTTTCTATGCCCTGTATACATATATACTTCTATATAACTTATTTTTTTGAACAATCGTCTTTTCAAACAATTATTTTCAAAATTTTGTACAATTGTCTATTGTATTTTTGTTACAATTTTACAATTCATTTATGCGATAAAAAAAATTTCAATACGATCTTAAAAGGGTTTTCATCGTTTCCTATATTTAAGAGACGTGTTTCCATTTTTTTATTGTGTAATTATCGTAAAAAATTCAATAATTATTGTTAATAATGAGATTGTGTTCAAGGTCGCGCGAATGTCTCGATCTTAAAAGGCACTGATTGGTCTCAAAAAATTGTATTCCATTCGAAAGAAAAATATTGAGTGATCTTGGAATCTCTAAACGATCTTGAGATTCCTTCATGCTAGACTGATCCGACTTCTGTTTCTATTATCGATCAAAACAGAGATATTTAGGGTGAAAATGTTATCATCGCCGAAGAAAATTATGAAAACTATTTTGCTAAATATTTTCTGCTCTGTTTTAGTAATTAAATCAGCGGAGGAGGACAAATTGCTGCACACGTTGCAGACGGTGGGTCGTTTGTCGAACAAGGCGGCGAGACGCGTGTACGCTAACATAGTGTGCCACATGAGCACCGTCCGAACTGACAACATAAAGGCTTACATCGGTTCTGTGCTGCAGTTTCTACAGCTCACGCGGTATTTGCACTCGATAAACGACAAAGAGCGCGATTCCGCCAACGCCGCTAAATCAGAAAAGAAGCAAAATTAATTTCCCCGGTATTGTCATTCTCGGGAGAAGACAGCTGTCCTCGGGGAGAAAATGGTCTCTCGACTATTATTAGTTCCGAATTTACTGTTCACGCACATTCTGTTACTCACGATATTGTTTTGTACTAATTGCTTCGGGATTACCTATAGCGCGACGATCATTTTTTCAAGGTTACGTTGCGTCGGCGTGGAATTGCAATTTTCTACTGCAACGTTGCGTACAAACGTTGTTAACATTTAAATGTCGAGGAATCGGGGTCCGAAGACGAGATTGGATGATTCTGAAATAAATTTCGTTCAGATGTAATGAGCCCAGATACAGTTAACCTTTTGCAGTCGAAGCTATTTTAATTTGAAATTCGAAACATATTTTTTGATTTATTGATATGAAATTGAGCCTGTTGGCAAGTAGAATACTTGCAATTTCAACAGTTTTTCAAAATATAAACGAATCTGATACTGTTACAATTATTTAGAAAAATAGTCAGGGTCATCACTCGAGTGCAAAGGGTTAAGTGGGTGAAAGTGGACAATTTGGAAAGAGCAGACACGATTATTCGCCACTTTTGCGCCCAGTTCTTTATAGTTGTTGACAATTTGCAACTATGAAAACGATTCGCGAGGCTCGAATAATCGTATCTCCCCTTCTCGAATTGTCCACTTTTGTTTACAAGCTCTGGGACAATTGGGGAGAATTTACTGCGATTCGTAATGGTACCAGAGAACCTCCTAGGGAATTTACTCTAGAGAAAAACAGCGGGCTGTTGGAATGCTTGGCTGCCATGTTAATGAAATAGAAGCAGCAAAATAATTGCACGGTGACATTAGAATGTTCTAGGGACTTTTTTCTTCGCAGAAAGAGCTTCGTCTAGTTTTTACACGATTTGCAATGTAACATTTCTTGCGAGACGCAGTATGTATCCCTACATTCGTTGCAAAGGTGAGTAACGACTGCAATTTTGCAACGAAACAGCTATGAAGAGCACAGTAATTTGTCGGATTTAATAATTGAAATTTGATAATGGCATACTTTTCGCGCGGAAAATTGAAGGATGTGGACAGAGAGGGAGACTCGTTCGAGAGAAATAATAATTTCTTAATAAACATTCGCTTTCCTTTCATTTTTTACACGCTAGGTGGCAATAACATACTTTCATAAACATTCGTATATTTAATGGTCATTATTTCTTTTTTTTTAATGAAATCATTTAGATAACGACCATTGAAGAGTATTTATATAAATATATCTTTTCAGCGTTCATCACGTGTACATAACACGAAACTGTACATTGTTTTTGTAATGTTTTTATATTTACAGTATACGTAAATAAAATACAATTACGTTTCTTAACAGATTGTTTACTTCTATCTGCTCTAATCGCCTATCCTTAAATTACTATAATTAAATTATTATACTGA